CTAATATTAAAGTTTAACCAAGTCATAGTATCTCTCTCTCTCTCTCTATATATATATATATATATATATATATGTTACATTTTTTATATAACTTGCCAATTATTATGAATTATTATAACCAAGTACTTTCTATGTAAACAGCAAATACATGTATGGAGTCGACTGTAACCTCGTATTCGTGACTTCATCCGGAATTCTCTGCTTTAAACCTTGGATTTGCATACTACGAGGTCAAACTACTTATATTTAGCGAAAGGAGACTGCGACAAAGTAAAAATTTTCTAAATAAAATGTTATTTCATCGTGAGCTAGACTCATGCCATTGTGGGAAATTCGTTATCAGTTTGTAATCACCTTAAGCGAACAATGATAACGAAAACTCGTATTCAAGATCTACTGATAGCCTCGAGTTCCTATACTGAGCGAATACTGTGACCATATTATCGCTTGATACGCACGAATTTAGTTCAAGTTGGAGCCAGGCAAAATGCAAACCACAATCTAGAAAAGTTAAGTTGATCCAAATCGTAAAATAGCCTGCAAAAGGATTGCTTTAAGATGCGACAGTGGATTTGTGTGATTAAGTCTTCGACTCATCGTCTGGAGAGAGAATCCGCTTAATCCTTAAAAGATGGCATTGAAATATGTCTATTTAAATGAGATTAGAGTACGTCAACAGCTATCTAGCAAAGGATTATATGTTTACTTCATGTTTACCAGATATGTATGGATACCAAATTTTCCGTGATTCATCATCTTACATCAAAAACAAGAAAGTCCTGGCCAAGTAATTTAATGCTATTCGTATTCTACAATTCTGTTTATCACGTAGACTTATTCGTAGGTGATTCATGATCAGCCAAATTTGTCTAAAACTATCAAGTACATCTTTAGAAACGCATAGCATAATTTGACTTCAGGAACACAGCATAGAATTGCATTCTTTGATAAGCAGGAAAACTAGCACTTTTAGTCCGAATGACTTCCTTAAGTTAAAAAGAGTGTTTCAACAGCTAAGAAATAGAAATGATAAAAGACCTAGGAAATTGGTTACTAGAATAAAGATGATTAGCTTTTAGGAAACGTTAAAAGAGAGGGAGGATGAGCAGAGTAGAATTAGTAAGGTGGCAATCCTGTTCAAAACAATGTTTGACGTTGTCATAGAAAACGTTATATAAAAAAGTTCTAAACTTTGTCTTGTAAAACAGTATAAATAGCAGAAAGAAGTATTGGAGTGGGTTGACCTCGTTGTGGCAAATTGGTCTTGTCGTCAGGACAACTTAGTAGAACGCACCTAGTCCGAAGTCGCCTGCCAAAGTAGTTGTCATGATTCCCAGCATCAAACATTGGACTTGGTACATTCTCAAACGTTTCGCTGGCATCATCAATGAGTCTCGACATTCTCCGTACCAAAAGACGAGTGAAATCAATCCCTCGACAAACGTTCCGCCGAAAACGGTTTCACTC